TCCCCTTTGCTCATAATCAAAATTTTCCAAATAGACGCACTATAAAAACTGAATATTTTTTCGATGTTAATCAAGTGAAGTTTGCTTTCAATGAAAAGCATGTGAAATATTTTCTCGCAGTCTAGAAAGCCTCTCTTCTTGAACAGTGTTATTCCATTGTTATCTCGTCTCCCCATCATCTAATCAACTCAAGTTATCTTGTWAAAGCTTGGAACATCTTCACTTAGTTAAAGTTCAGCTCCTTAAAATCTAGGAGAGCGTGCTATAGTTTAACGCTAGTTCAAATGTTAAGCTTTACTGGAATTATTTGAATCCGTGATTTCCAACCGCGGTTTAAAATGAACACGCAATCTCGGAAGAAAAGAGCAATAGCAGTTCCGATATAACGGTTATTAGATAACGATAAAGATAAAAAAATGATTGTTTTAGTTCTTTGACGCGCTTAGAAGCCGGTCTTAGAGCTCATTTTGGCGCCAATTTGTCCTTGTTTACATTTGGAAAGGTCAACTAGTGAATAGTTAAACAACGAATACAATGAATCCGGACAAATCTGGATATCCGCGATATTTCTCTATCAATCTCATATCTGCTTATAGATAACCTAATTCAACCGCCAACTTTGGAATTCGCTAAATGCAGCTGGAAAAAATTGAACATAAAGTAGCTACCGCAAAGTGGAGTTTGACGGACGGTGTGGAAATTTCTAGCACGAGTTCATTCAAAATGTTTGAATTTCCTATCAGCATAAACTCTTGAATTATATTAAAGATAGTCATTTACAGGATTGTGTAAAACTGTCTAAATTAGTCGCTAAACAATATTACAGATTTCAGTACAATTACAAATTAATTATAGCAAAATGGAGATACATCAAAATTACTAACCTGCATCGCCAYACACTCCACCACATGGAAAATTATTACTAGTGATATAACTTTGAAAAGTGACCTAGAAAAAATGGGAAACGTGATGTTAGAAGTGATGTGCATAATGAAGTATTCGAGGCCCATATACAGACGAAAAGAAGACGGTGAATTATGTTATAAATCCGAGTCTTAATGCAATTCTTCCCCGGCGATCGACACACGTGTTTTGAGTCAGAGCTCATCAGTGCTGTGATATACCAACCTCATAGTCTCTCCTACAACGTTGCCGAATCTACCTTCTCACTAACAAACCAGTGCTGAGACTTTACAGTTATTTATCTAAGTACTGAGTCTACCGATGTATACCCCTTGCGCTCAAAATCAATCAGACTGACACATTGAGAGGTCAGAATCAATTTTCACTACGGAAACTGAATACCACAAACGCGCGGATCGAAAAAATGTGGCGACACCCTGGGATCGGCGTTTGCGGGGCGTGATATGGTATCRATTAGGTATTTGGAGTTGCTTTACTTTGAGGGCGTAGGTTTTTCCAATWGTTATGCATTCAGTAGATTAGGTCTGCTTTTGCGATAAATTTCACATGTGCCCAATTCAAATATACCACTCGCTAAATAACTGTGTGTTCGCTACATGTGAGATTTGACGTTTGGCTAATAGTAGCTGTACAACGCTCTTGTAAATCGAGGACGCAAGACGCTCTAGAAAAAAAGGTTTAATTCTGAAACTTTAAGTTACATTTTCCAAACCTTGAAGGCACTTCAGATATCAGAAACTTGATGCACTTTTCGTCATCTGATCAGTCGTCTTTTATGGTAAAATAACTAGAATAAATTATGCGCAGCATGCATAACAGCATTTAGGAAATTAAGGCTTAAGGTCCAAGTACTATATTTCGTCAACAAATAGTCAACATGATAACCATGCATTTGTCTTTTAAAACGATAAATATTTTTACTCGACAAAAAACTATTCTCCAGTTTAAACAATCGTAACAAGCTTTTACTAGTTTCTAATCCTGAGAACTGAATTCTTCAAGCAKTGAACCTTGTCTGTTTGCTTTGCTAAAAGCYTTGTGAGGTCATCAAGCTTGGAACTGCTTGTTCTTACGGAGAAACCGGAAACCCTAGCTGATGGCTTAGGAAGGAGTGGCTTCATTAAATCTAACGCAAGAAAAATATTTGGTCTTAAAATTTTAAATGTTTTTGCTTTGATGAAGTTAAGATTTATAATGAGCCACCAGCTGGGTAGTTYTGTGTGAAATAGAWTGTCAAGTAGCGAATATGTCAAAGTTTTCAGACTAATTTACACATCCTCATTTACCGCCAGTCCAATGCAACTTTTTTTAGCTGTATTAGCTGGTGACAGACGTGTAGWAGTACAATGTTGTGTTTGTTTGACAAATAGTCGATATTTGAGGTTTAAAACCGCAAAAGCCATGAATAACCGTAGCAAGTCGAAGGAAGGATGAGCAACATTAGTCCTTCCTGATTTTTTTCTTATTCTTTTTACTTCTTCACAGTTTTTAACTTCTTCGATTAATTATTGTTCTTCTTTATTAATTCCTCTTATTGTCTTCTTAAATTCCGGCTCAATTAAAGCGATATTTTTCTCCTTCTCAAGACTATACATCTCTTCTTCTTCGTGACAACAAACTCAAGATCACTCAACAATTTCAAGTTTGTTTGCTTGTTTTCATCAATTTGTTTTATTCATTTCCATGCTTAAAACCTTGYTCTTTTCCTTTCATCCTTAGACTTTTGACTCAGACGTTTTCTACCTAAGCTTTTACAKTTTTTTTTTCTCTCAAATATCTCACCGTGTTTTCAACCAAATCGTACTCTAATAATCATTGGATTATGTACTTAGGTATGGAGAAAAAAACATGAATAGTTAAAAGTATCTAAAACTATGATGCTGTGAATTATTTGTCCGGATAAAAGCAAAATCACTGCCTAAACCATTTCCTATTAGTTTCAGCGAAAGTGTGACGAATTTTAAACATTTTARTGACATTTCAATTGAAAAGATAAGGAAGGAAGGCGCTTCCATGCATGACTTGAACTTCTTGAGAGTGCTCTGAAGCAAAACTTACAAACAATGTCTTTATCAAAAATAATGTCTTTATCAAAATTCATTATTGGCAAAGAACAATGAATTTTTTTCCGCAAGATTAAATTATAATGTTTCAATTAAATTATTGCAAGTTTTGCAGTTGCTGTTGTTTTTCTTTTTGTTTTTGAAGTTTAAGGGAACGTTGGACAGCGGTAAAAATGGTGACTTAGGGAGTGGTTGTGTCGTCACAAAGCGAGTTCGGAGGGGAATCTTCCATTTTTTGAATTCAAAAGTGTGCAGAACCACAAAATTTCAAAACATTCAAAGACGCCCTATCACGCCTTTCAATATAAAAACARTTTCAAATTAAGGATTACTTTAAGAGGTCTCCTTAGGTCAAAATGACATCAATTTTGTTGTTAAATCAGATTTATAAGCGTGTGAAGTCTGAGGGTGTTTTGATTCAATCAGGCTAAAAATCTCACTGAGCTCTAGCACAGRAATACCGAGACTATATGTACTAATTGTGCATACCGAGAATATGTTCCACGAAAATACTAAAATTCATGCAGTAATTATACATGACTATTGTCAAAAAGGTTCGAGAACGTTTAAGTCATGCAGCCACAAAAATTTCATATTAAAATAACAAAGCATTCCTCGTTTTTTTCCTTTTGGTTATCACGATCATCTAACACGGAAGTGATCGCTTTCTTCTTTTTTTTAAGGAGTGTTCATGAGGTTGGTCGTGAGGTTGCATAAAAAATATAGATCGCACTACCGAAAGGAGCTATGGGTATTTTTAACTAACCACAAGTAATCCACAATGAAGTTTAGTCTAAAATAATCGGTTTTTGGACCGGAAACATATTGTTCATAAGATTCTTATACATATTGCTTTAATGATTACTTTCATAACTTGWGGACACTAATCAATTTTAACAAAGAGCGCGCGTCACAAAAAAATTAAATCAGTCTAAGTTGTTTCGATCAGTTGTGTTGGGTATATCGGAAATCAAACAATGTTCCTTCAATAAAATATCAACGTGTGTCACGCCAGTAGAAATCGCTGTACAGCTATTTGTTGCAGACTTCATCAATAAGCCTGCATAGCAWGCAAATCAAGCTCCTACATTTAACTATACATAGGGTACCCAGTACCCCTGCGATCCTTCGGCTGGGCGCGTAAACCCAGCCGCCAACGTGTGTTATCTCTTCACTCGATTTCCTTCACGCTAAAGAAGATCATGTTCTCAGACTGAGCTGACAAGGAAGAGCTTGCAAACGACCTTAATTCGAGATACATAGCGTACACTATTAACCCAGAGTCTGCTAACCTGTCTATACAGTTAAAATTTCAACCTCACTGGCTCCTATACGCTCACTGTCCACACCCAGATCCTTGGCGTGAAAATTAGAATAAGAGTCTGATGGTACAAAAATAAGATAACGCCACGTGTCTGTAATACCTATTCGTTACACTGATAAGGCCRCACCTCGGAAACAAGGTAATAGYCGTAGGTCGCAATCGTTCCGTAAAAGGTCAATTGTAATCAGTGTATATGTTACCGACTAAATATGTGAAGCTATCAATGCAAATAATGGAAATTGTTATTTCAAAGACGTGTGCATTCAKTTTCTTGTGCTAATATACTGCTGAGCACCGAAATAAAATGGTCTCCTTKGATACCCACAAAACGGAATGATCGTCGGCCTATAGTTGATAAGCAGGGATATAACAAAGCAGCTATAATAAAGTTTTTAAATTTGTCTGAAATAATAATCTACGCAAATTGTTAATTATCGATGATGGCACAATACACATATCATGCATGCAAATTATCAGAATCATTTGCATAGAAGCCTTATCATGCAGGATTCGTCCTACACTGGAGGAACAATTTTTTTTTTATCACAAAGTTTGTTCTTGACCTTTGATTTTTGATCGGCGAAATATGCAGGTGAAATATGCATGATGTCTCATGCTGATTTGACAAGGCCTAGGTCTCAACGTCGTACTTATAGATAACAGCTCATGTAGAGTCCGACGTTTGACCCAGGCCTTAAAGATTCGTTACAAAAACGTCTCTAGGGGAAAATATAATTTTGCCACAGAAAAAAAGCCATCCTTTTATAGAACATCCGCGAAAATAATTACGTTAATTGACGACAGATATTACTGTTTATCAACACTGCTAGACACGCCGTGCCTCTCATCTGGAGAAAAGATACTTCAAAAAGTAGACATCTAATTTATCACACATCTATTATAGTGGCTGAYAGGATCAGGAGAAGCACGCGACAAGAGAACTGATATACCACTTGAAATGGGCGTTGYTCTGTCTAGCTCTGAAATCTCGGTCGCAATAATGTTTTATACGATAACAGAAAATATCTTAATTACTATGCATATAATTTCCATTTTTTATATATAGCTCAATCTTGCTTGTCATTTAGATGACAGTACACTTTTTTAGTGCACCCATACGTATAGTGTGCTTGCGATCGAATGGTAAGTTGCTGTTCCCTGGTTTATATCTCTATTGCTTGACTAAGATAGTTTTCATTTACAATTGTACAACTTTCAAGGTTTATCTATTATCACTGTACTACATGCCAACAAGAAATTGTCGAGGCATCACACAGGGTATATTTTATGCTTTTTGGCGTCGTTAAAATCCATGAAATGAAAAGGCCTAGCATACAGTGCATTCTCAAATATCATATCATAAATGTTCATGCTTAACAATAGCTTGGAAAACCATGGATCTGACGGGTATTGGGGCGGGTGGAAAGYAAATGAGGAAAGAAATTAATACTTAAATTTCTCGTTTCCTTCGTTTCTGACTTHCAAGAAAAACAGAGGGAAAAGACAATGGGTGTAGTACGATTCAACGGTACCATATGCGCCACTACTGACCCAGTCGGTTTAAACCTTGCCCTTTTCCCTATCTGGGATAGGGGTTGATAGCACCGCCCTAAATTTGTCATCACATCGATTTATTATCAACAAACCGATATTGTACTGCGGCAGCCCAATCCCGCCAGTCTGTCGCCCCCAGCACTAGC